ATAGAAAAAGAAAAAAAATCGTCTTGGTTGAGGCGGTTCGTCAACGTGAGGACCGCCTCTTTGGGAAGGTGAAGGGGCCGGGGGTGTCAAAAACGTAAAAATCAAAGAGGAGGCATGGGATGAAGTGGCAGAGGCGGTGAATGCGTAAGTACCAGTTGCAATGTATTTTATTGGTGCCTAATCATAAAACATTTGAAAATATAGAGCCTTATGTATATTATGCATAAGTAAAATAACTTACTATAGTTTCCTCGGATTTTTTTTTTAAAGAATTAGAGTTATTCCTCTTATTTGCTATAATTAGTTTCCATACGTATCAAAGGTTATTCCAATTTCCTTTGCCTGTTTGAATTGTTTTCTGATTCCTTTATAGAGTTTTCTGATTCCTTTATAGAGTTATAAAACCGTGGGTATGATTTTTTTTTCTTATTGAAAATCTAAATTCTACGTTATATATATTTTTTGATTTGCATATGGATTTAGATATTAATGAAAAAAGATGAACAAAAGTATCTTGGGGCCTGGGGTGTTTTTCCGGGAAGGGGGGGGGGTCTTGTCCACATAAGCACCTACAGCTGAGTGGAGCAAGTGTCTTACCACAAGGCCACCATAGTCGATCAATGGTATAGAAAAAAGAAATTGGAACATGGGAATATGCAGAAAATAGGATAGAAGTTTCAAATTTTATTAATAAACTTATGTCGAAGTATTTTGTAGCCTGAATTTCAAGAACCTCAAAGGAACCTGAGTAGTAACCTGTTAAGGTACAAAATAGAAAAAATTGCAAAGCAGGCACGTAGCATCGTTTTAGAAAGTCAAGGGGGGGCAAACTCAAAAAATTCTTTACTTACCTGCCTAAAAAGTTAACAGGCCCGAAAATTAAAAGTTGTCTAAATTCGAAAATCCTATTTCGGGGGGGGGGGGGGTATTTTCCTTATAACACTACACTGTCGTGAAATAGGGGGGGGGGGCTTCCTTTTCCTATAGTTAAGGTAATCTTTAGAGAAAATGTGGGGGGTGTGTGCAGCCCCCCCCCCCCCTACCCCGAATACTACGGGCCTGCAAAGAGACTTACAGCGTGAACACTTTAATGTACGGACAATATATCGGTATTAGGGTTAAAACTAGTGAATCTTCGGACTAGTGGGCCTTCGGACTAATGAACCTTCGGACTAGTGAAAATTCGGACTAGTGGGCCTTCGGACTAGTGAACCTTCGGACTAGTGGACGTTGACCGTTGATAATTGTTGAGCAAGTATGAACTACCGGTAATTATCGAGGTCAATCAACATTATAAATTACATGGAAGCATACATGTCTAACATGAGACCATGTAATAAGTTATTTATTTTTTTCAACAAGAAATATGGTAGCTATAGTATTGTACACATATACAATATCATATACAATTTCATTTGATTTACTGATAAAATACATAATTTGGCACACCTTTATAAATGAATTGTCTTAATATTTATATACTGCTAAATTTAAAAGTTACATTTTTTTACAGTATCTCCGAGACAATAAACAGAAGTACTGAAGAGGTACGAAAACACGAAAACAGTATGCGAACATCAAGCAAAGAGGTAGGAATTACATATTCCTTATCGATAAGAAATCTAAAATCTACTCTAAACATTAAAACTATTGTATGAAATAATATTTAATGATATTTCTTTAAAATATAAAGATAAAAGTAGTCATGAATTGTCACAATAATTTACTATAAATTAAATCAATAGACATTATCATGCAATGAAGATTCACAGATCAAAAAAAATACAGCTGTAATATACTTATAAATATTTTAATTGAATGTGTAACTAAACTGTCATCTGAAATATAAATAAACATTGAAATATTTTTTTTAATATGATAGTTTGGATTTTGAGAATTTTAAGTAAAATTTTGATTAGCTAAAAGTGTTTATTTCAAATATGACTATATTTATAATATACAATGGAAATGTTAAATTTGTAAATCATATCTAGAAGATGGGATGTTAATCGTTAAACATTTTTTTTCATTTTTAATGCATTATTACAGCAAAACAGAAGTCAGATGCTATGCGCCGTCCAGCAACTGGAGGGGGTCCTAAACGTGCCTCCCCAACCCCAGTGGAGGCCGAAATGCTTAACAGCATGGGGGATAGACCAACTCTTTTTGATCTGTCTTCTGGTCATGATACAGAGGAAGGTATTTAGAACAAGAACGGTCATAAAGTTTGATTTTTAATTTGTTTAAAATATCTATGTTGTATTCTTCACAGATTTATTAATTAATACTGAGTTCAGTTTTAAATTAGAAATAACTATTTAAAAGAATGTGCAACTAATGTTACAATAGATGAATTGTCATAATATTTCAAACACGCATGTCAAAATTTTTAAAAGCAATGTACTATTCATTTTCAGTAATTCTTTGCATTGTACCACCTACATTAGACTATGGCAGCACTGCCACTGGTGTAGCAGGTACTTGTTCAGTACTTGCCCCTGACAACGAAGACAATCTATGTGGTAAATTTGTTATTAATCTGAATACATTTCAATATTGCATCTGTCATGACTTCTAAGGGATTTTCCCTGTCAACCAAACGGCTATGAGCTACACGTTGACGATGTCGGCGACGACGACGCTGTCTTCTGTTTTTTACAGGCATATTTGAGATTTTTTCAAAGCATTTAAGTCAACTACATGTAAGAAGGTAGCTTAAGTTTACTGTGAATTTGAGTAAGAAAAATAACTTATGTTTGTTCGAGAAATGCAATATTTTGAGTTTTCTCAAATCTGAGATTTTTTTCAGAAATTTGAGTTAAAACTCAGATTTAAGTCTGAGATTTAACTTTAGTTTTTTTCGAGAAATCCAAGCCAGACTAAATAAACAAGTCAACGTGATTAGAGGTGTTTTTTCGTTCTATCTGACTTAACAATATCAGAATTTTCTACAAAGATTTATAACTTGCTTTAACAACTATTTTCTAGCAAATAAAAACTGTAACATCGCAAGTTGACATACTTTCTTGCAAGTTCACATAATCATCATTTAAGTGCGTTTTGTGAATGCTATTTTGTATGAATGTCCGTCTTGACATTTATTCAAGTACGTCTCCTCCTTTTGTTAGACTTTAACTTTGTTTATAATTTATCTGTAACGTACCACACTCCCATTTTTGATGGAAAGAGCAAGTACAAGAACATTATAAATTTAAATATTTTGTTCTACCGGACACCCCAGGTCCTTGACAGTCACCTGAGTATAATACATAACAACCCTGCAAGTGAAGAACAAAATATATAAAAAGAAAAAAAATCACGGCTAGATTAAGACTACCATAGCAAATAAGCCTGATGGTATCTGTCCCATTTTACATGTAGGACATAATTTTCTAACGTTAATTATCCACTCTGTTTTAAGAAATCTAAAACTAATTCAAAGCAGTTTCGATAAAAAAGGATATACCTGACCTGTTTGTCATCTGCTTGGTATAAAATCAGAAAAAAAACCATGATGTGTTTGTGAAACACTGATGCCCCCTTATGCCAACGTAGCAGAAACTAACGTCTTTTAAATGCAAATCTAAAATGTTGATATCCAATGTATTCTTTTTTACAAGAAATACAATTAAGAAATACGAAAGTCCTATCCCCCATTGTTTAAAAGTTATGGCCAAGGTTAAAGATTTTAAAAAGTAGGTCAAATTCCAAGGTCAAGGACAAAGGGTCAAAGTTGTTGCTGTTCAAAAAGAAAAGTCTTGGTACAAAGAATACATATGTGAAGTGTGAACGTCCTATAGCCCTAAGCGTTAAAAAGTTATGGTCAAGGATAAAGTTTTTAAAAAGTTCAACGTTCTTGGTACCAATCGAAAAGTCTTCTCAAAGGTATTATATAACTGAAGTATGAAAACACTAGCCCTACTCCTACCAAAGTTATGGTTAAGGTTTGTTTTTAAATAGTACGTCAAACTTCAAGGTCTAAAGGTCATTTTTTTAATATGGTATGAAAGGTCTTCTCCCAAGGATTATGTATGTAAAGTAATTTTTTTGTAATGAGTTAAGTGTAATTTTGATCACTTCCTCCTAACCTACTAGACTGGCCTTGGTGTGGCTGTTACTTCAATCTTATTACTGCTGATGTTATGTTCCACAATGCCTTATAGTAATGCAGTGTACCCAGGAAGGCAAGGATTATGGAATTCACTTTTCCTGCCGCCCCTGCCTTTAATATGTATTCATAAGCAAGTACTATAGATCAAAATTGTTTGAAATTTGTTAAGTAGTTACAAATTATGGGGTTAAAATTATAATTTGTAATGGACAAAGTAAGACGCAAACAAAATTTGTAAAATCAGATTACTTTTCGTAGCAGAATGACTCAGGTGATGTACAAATCCGGATTTGTAATGAACGGAACCACATTTTACCTATGGACTTCTTTTATGTATGCACATATGTTTTTTGGATTTAATATTAAAATTCTTGACTTAAAATTGTTATATAAATATATAAAAAAAAGGTCTAATTGGTGATACATGTACCCAAAGGAAGGTATTCATTTGTCAAATGGAATATACATGTCAATGTATAAAAGTTGGTCAAGCTCTAGGGTTAAAAGTTAAAACTATGGAAAATAAAATAACCCCAGCACAAAATATTTAAAAAAAATGTAGCTAGGGTACACTTTAGTGTATTTTTGTACGAGTGGATCAAACGCAAATTTCAAGGTAATAAGGTCAAACTATGTGGCACCTGTGGAAATGTCTTGTCAGGAGAAATATATGTACAGACGTAAAATTGGAAAGCTTTAGACCCCAAGCACTCTAAAGATAAAAGCAAAGGTTTAGTTTTTGCGGACAAACAGACAGACAGATAGAAAGATAGACAGATAGACAGAGAAAGAGACAAACAACAGATAGGACCAAAAAAAACTATATACCCCCGAATCTTTGTCTACCAGAAACTCAACTGGTCGTTTGAAATGCATAATAAAAACTTACATTTATATATATCCGTCGAAACATACGTCGTTGGACATGGAGTTGCAAAGTGTGTGCAGGTAATCTCATAGTTATCTTGAATTCGTTCTCCGCCTTTGTTGAATTCTATGCAAAATCCTGAAAAAAAAAATCAATTTTGTTGTGTCAAATTTTCGTAAATACTATCAAAATACGATCAAACCAAAACTATTTCTTTTGCCTTCTGTCGTTAACAATATGAAAGATAAGTTTATGAAATACTGATGCTTCTATATGGCAGCTTATAGCCAAAGATTAGTTTCTCAAATTTATACAAGTTTAACTGCAAAATCAAGGTCAAACGATCAAAACTGTTGGTATCTGTTCAAAGGTTATAGCCAAGGTACATGTAAAGGTTGTTTTTTAAGCTGGTCAAACTCTAAGGTAAAGGTCAAAAGGTCAAAAATATTTACAGCGTCTTAAAGGTCTCATCGTCCCAAACCACGGCCAAAATGTACGCTCTTCTCCCATCTGGCCGTGGTTGAACGAGGAGATATTCTTCGTAGCTCATTAAAATAATGACTAATGCGATTAAAGCATAGTCCGATGTTGAACGTTTTTGCGACCTTTCAATATCCAGTTGCAGTATAGGATATATTTTTTTTTGTATACTGTTGACGTCAGTAGTTGATTTCGATTGCGATGGAAACAAAAATTGCCACTGACCGAATATTACGTCACTGTAGAGAGGCTTAAAAAATTCAAGATTACGACACTTTTTTTATCAAGCAGCCACGGATAGGAAAGAGATATATATGCAGACTCCAGACCGTGGATTGAGACAATGTAAAGGTCTTCAAACAATAAACATGAGTGAGAAGTATGAAAGCCCTAGCATCAACTGTTAAAAAGTTAGAGTCAAGGTTATACATAAAAAATTGTATTTTTGCTAAAGTGTGTCAAACTCCAAGGTCAAGAAGTCAAATGTGGTTGTACTCTTATAAAGACTTGTCAAAATAAATACACACCAAAAGCCCTAACCACTCAAACAAGGTTATTTTTTCAGGTAAAAAATAGAGATGGACAGACAGACATATAGACAGAAAGAAAAGCAGACAAACAGACGGCAACCCAGGGCAATTTCTATGATCAGTACCCCCTGGATCTCAGATTACGGGGCCATAATAAAGTAACACGAAGAGAGGGTTGTGGAGATAACTAACAGTATTCAATATCAAAGTCCATAAAACCGTACAAAATAGGAGCAGAGGAAACGCAGACCTATAAAACATTAGAGTTGGGATCATGTACCATGGAGGAGTAAGCATTGAGGCCTGCTGACCGGTCACACTCGCCATGTGCTCCTTGTCCTGATCGGGATATGACGGAATTATCCGTCGTCAATTCAGTGTATAAATAATGGAATAAAAATTAGCATGAAAAACGTGAATCAGCATTTAACTCAATGAAAAGTTATATTTGATTACTAGGTCATTGTATCGACCACAGAACTTAAAAAAATGATGACTTTAAACGAGTCTGCTGATATTCCTGTTTCATCAACTTGTTTGTCAATAATTAAACTCGATTTAGAAATCGTTCATACGTAGAGCGTGCTATTGTGTATCGCGTCAACTGAGATATATAAACACCGTAAGCACTCATGAGGGTATATTGCTGAAAGTACGAAACAGATGTGTCAGACTCAGCATGCAACTAAAACTTTTATATTCAATATACATACTGAAAGAATTGATATATTTTCATAGATACAACAATAGGCTCAATGTCAACATCGCTCACCTGAGCAAATCGGCTAGGGAAAATCACAGATCAGTTCAGTATTTAAAGTTTCACTGAGGATGAGGTAAATTTTATCCTGAATGCTATTGATGATGCCATCATTTCAATTAAACATTTATCCTTACTGTTCTTGAGAGAAAATACTACATTTATATATTTCAAGATTTTATAAAATTTGGAAACAACTTTGAAAAAAAGTATTCCTATTGTGGTTCCTTCATACCCTTTTTTTTCTAATGTCTTATTTTTTTCTTAAGTAAAACTTTGTGGCACAATCCTAACTTTAGGGTTTTGATTTTTCAATTTAACTTGAATTTATACTATCTGAGGCTAATTCCATATAAATATCATTAATCATGGCTTGATATTCTCGAATAGTTTTTTTTTTCTAACATTTTTTGCTTGATACTTTAAATGATCCCCATTATACATGATTTGAAAAATCTTGAATAAACATTCTTCAGGCTTCTACATGAGTTGTTTTACTGTGTCGGCCCCGACAAAGTAAAAATCTTTCCGACACAGTAACTAATAAAATTTTATGCGTGTGACACAGTTTATATTTTGCAATACAGTAAGATCTGTGATAATCAGAAAAATTAAAACATTAATTCTCTTTAACTGAAGCATTAATCAAATAAATTTGCCATCTTTTAATTTTCAAGGAAGAGCAATTAATACATGTAATCTCTTAAGAAAGACAGTAAGTCTTACTTCACCTAAGGCTTGCATAATCAATTATTATATCCCCGACCCTCGCTGGACTTAAAGCAAGAAGCATAGTTCTAAAATTAAATCTATTTATGAATGATTCATGGTTTGTTGGCTTTAAAATGTGTTACTTTGGATTTATGAAGCTACTAAGTTGACTTTGTAAATTAAAGAGTTAAAGTGTAACATTTACAGATAAAAGTGTTAAAACTAATGATTTAAGTGTAAAATTTTAATACGAAAGTGTAAATTGTACAGATTTGAAGAGTAAATTTTACACTTTAAAAAGTACATTTTACAGATTAAAACGATATTTTAGAGATTAAAGTTTAAATTTACAGATTCATGTGTAAAATTTAACAGATTAAAAAAGTGAAATTTACACTTTATAGTTTAAATTGTACAGATTAAAGTGTAGAAATAAAAAAATATAACGTGTCCAAGTGGCATTAACACACTTCTTTACTTTCTACATTGTGCTGCCAATATCAGTTAATCATCAACAGAGAAAATCAAAATCTGGAAGATGGTAAGTTGTTCAATTCTTTCGAACAGAAATTGCTCTTCTTCAGAGAGCCCTATTATATGTTAAGCATATATGTGTACTGTTGTTACATGTACAGATATGTAAGTTTAAAATATACGTAGAACTTGAAGATATTGATACAGTTGAATTCTTAATCTTTTTTTTCAAAAATTAAAGTTTATTATATATATATAAATGGTACATTATAAATATATTATTACTGAAATATCCATTTATTAAGGTCTTCCGTCTTCAGCGGAAGACCTTCTTGTTATTCGTTTGTTTCTTTTCCACTGTTTTTCTTCTTATTTTTTTTCCCCGATTTTGTGCACGCGATTTCTCGAAAACGGCTTGTTAGATTTTTATGAATCTTTGAGGTCTGATAGAACATATTAAAAACTTGATGCTTTTTTTTTCATTTTGATGACGTCACTTCCGGTTCGAAATTTTGCGCAATTTTGTGATTTTGTCCGTCGCTCTTCTTAAAAATCGCTCATCACAGGAAGATGAAACCTTGTCTGGAAGATAGATCAACAAATGTAGATTTGCATTTTGTTGTTTACTTTCACCAGAAGTACTGCACGTTAACGATTGGTATGGTCTGAAAAAAGCCATATTGAGCGTTTCAAAATTTTTTTTACACTTTTTCTATTATATCTTTTTACTTGTAAATATTTTGTGAAAACATATAGAACAAAAATTGTGATGAATTCTAAGATCTTCAAAATGATATCTGGAAAAAAGGGCTGACCCCTAAAATTAGGGATCTAGAGGTGCCAAAACTTTTTACTTGATATCTCAAAAAGTATTGAGAATTTGTAATACTTCAAAGAAACAAAATTGTTCAAAATGACAAGCTTAATGTACCTGAGCCGTCAAAATACGTCCGGCGTCGTCACTTCCGGCCAAACCAGAAGTAGTCAAAACGGGTATTTTTGCTGTTCTTTTCAAGTTTTTTGGTAACATTTGTCTCTTGGAGCACAAAAATTAATTTTCCGTTCGTCATCGTCAATTCCGGTTAAACCGGAAGTAGCAAAAATTGCTTATTTTTGCATTAATTAACATAGATTTAGAGGATTCAAATCATTCCTGGGCGTAATTTCTCATTTTTGTTGTAAATGAAAGGTACTTCCGGTCAAACGGGACGGAAGACCTACTCGTTGCTTTGCAACGAGCTTTGCTCTAGTTATTCTTATTATTATGTTAGACACACCTTTTGTAATATAATAAGTTTCAGTTGCGAATTTTATCTAGGAAATATCGCAGATACCAATATTACTGCTTCACGAAAAGTCCGTAACACAGTAAAATCTAAATGATGGAGAACCTTTATTAATGTACATAATAACGTTTCCATGTAAACGTCACCAATTATAGCTCACTGGTTCTTGGGAAAATTTTAAAGATGTCTTTCTATACATGTATATTATAGGATTAAACGTTCTTTTTGAAAAATTAATCGGTGTGTAAACTCTTGACATTTTACTCATTAACTAAATAAAAGTGCGATGCACTTTTATGTTAACTCCACGCATTTTGTGAGTAAAATGTCAAGAGTTCACACATCGATTAATATTTAAAAAAAAAAAAGAAAAGAAAAAGGCCTTTAATTCGTATAATTCCAATATCGATTTTTTAAAAATATTGAAACTATTTCTCTTTGAGGCCTCCATACGATCCATTATTTCTGGACGGCGTAGAAATACATTTTACCGCAAAGGAACGTAATCGAGATGAATTGCAATAAGGTTCAGCTTAAGTTGTCAAAATAATCGATATAGAAACTTATGAAGACTTGTTGTTTAAATCAACAAATATCGTAATTACGAATTTACTTCAGAATAGTTCGTCCTTGACCATGGCCATGTTGAAATGAACAACAACTCTCATAGCGAAAGTTGCAGACCGACGACGCCTTCGATTTGCACTTGTTTGTTCAAAGATTGAGGAACAATATAGAGAGTAAATATGAGTTTGATGTTAATATGGCAAGAGTATGAGATGTATGTTTCTTTTCCCTGTCAAAACGATGCAAACTGAGCTGATTTTCTTCGTATATATGAACGTCAAGACAGCGATTTTTAAAATTCACAATCCTGATCAGACAGTGACATAAACATTTTCATAGCGTCTGTCAGCTGATCAGTCCAGTTTGTCGCCAGTTTTGTTTTAATTAATTAAATATGAAGTTTCTTGTATTCATTATTTAGCCAAAACAGACCAGAAATAGCTGTTTCATTGTTTATACTATAACCTAGAAGGTTGGTCGAAAAAGTAGTTCTGATTGAAAAATTGTCGATGTGTAAACCTTTTCTTACACGTGTTCTCGTCCAATCAAAACACAGGAAACCAATATATAATATGAAGATGGAAACTATTTCTATGTTAAACTTTGACTGTCCCCATCCTAACACCAGGAGATGACTTGAACAGAGAATGATTTTAAATGACAAATATTTTCAAGCTTCCAGTCGTTCTTGTGAAGATTAGCAGAAACCGTAAATGAAAAATAATATACACTTATCAACTGGGTATGAGTGGGATAGCTTTTTTATCATACCCGCGTCAACAACTTTTCCCCGAGGGCTGGCCAGTGGATAAGCGTTTTATTATACTGATGTACTTTGTTTTGTAGTAATATTTTACTTGAAAAAGAAACCGAAATGTCAATATCAAGTAGCATTTAATCAAAATGAAATACGACAAATTGTAAACAATTAAATAAAATGACGTTAACATCATAAAATTTACCAAGTATAATCAACTCAACATTATTCATTACATAGTAAGATCGATCAACGCTTCTTTTCTGTAGTTTATTTTAGAATTTACTGTTTATTTCTGTAAATGTTAATGCTGACCTCACATTCAGTGTTTTTGCAGAAAAAGCTGATGGAGTGATGTACACATTTAACATTGTGTAATTCAAAGTTTTTTTTAATGCCGCGAAAAATGTGTAAACATTAAGAAATCAATCCGAGTCTCCTGTACACCAGAGTCACTGTAACCTACTGCATTAGAATTTTTGGAACTTTCATAAAGTTGATTTAAAATTTCAAATTGTTATGGTCACTCAACCTCGTGGAGTAAGATATAATACTGTACTAGACATGTTTTTGACCAGATATTCCAACTATATGTCTTGCATCAATTCCCTGCCTGTCAAGTCTCGTTATGCACGTCGTACGAATACAGTGATTAGTATATACTGTAGATAGTTCAGCGCTCTTTCTTATAGAAGACATCATCGCTGCAAGAGTATTTTTCTAAGGGGAACATCGTCGTACCAAACTGACTGCGTTTATGATACGGACGGTTTAGGGCGCTGCAATTGATTTTAGTTACCATATGATTTAACTTCGCAATAAACTTCATGAAACTATTTACAGGGCAAGGAGATTTCCTATTAAATTTTTAAGTAAAATTACATTTGCATGTATAAATATTAAAATTATTTTTTCTTTGATTATTAGAATGAGAAAAATTGACAACGAAACCTGGCATTTCATACATCCGTGGTTGATTTGTTTGGTCATTCGTGAGATCATCTCCTCTGATTTCTCTCCTCTCCTCTCACTTTACACACGTATCTTTTCTCCTCTGAATCTAACAATCTGCTTTTGAAAGCTTCTCAAGTTCTGACCTGACCACATACAGTTGCAAAAATAGTACACTATCTCGTAGAATATTCTTTTTTACAGCCCCATAGCTGAATTCATAGAAAAGGCATCACTTTCATAAAATTTGTTTTAGATCTTGTGTAGATATTGTTTGTTTAAGTTTTACCTCGGGTTCTCCCTCTCTTTATCGTCACTTACATGGCCTTAACATCTTTGTTACATAACTTATCCAGCAGGCATTTCAACGTTGATTCAACGTTGCACTTCAACGTTGAATCAACGTTGAATTTTGGTTGCATATCAAATTTGAGGCAACGTTGAGACATGACGTTGTTTCAACGTCATGTCTCAACGTTGAATAAACGTTGAAAATGGGTTGAATATTTGGTTGATTTATGGTTGATTTTTGGTTGCAAATGAAAGTTGGGGCAACGTTGAAGCTTCAACGTTGTTTCATCGTCAAATATCAACATTGAACAAAAGTGAACATTGGTTGAAATTAGGTTGAGATTTGGTTGAAATTTTCTGGTTGTACAAACGTTGATACTTGGTTGAAATCATGTTGAATTCATATTATATTTTGCTTTATAAACAAATACATTTCAAATTTTTATTAAAAATTTTTATTCAAGTTGCATTATATTTATATAAATTGTAATCCAGTATTATGATTGTCAGAGAATTTATTTTAAATGTATTTTTAAGACAAACACAAATTCGGATTTATTCACCGAATATCAAAAATCACTGCTCGACAAACTTCATATTCCTAGTGAAAAGTGGGTCAAAGTAATCACATCCAGGTCCTTCAAAGTACGCGTCTGCCTAACACTACAGAGTTCCACAAAGTGTCGGATCCATTGATTTTAATCACGTATATCGTTAAGTCCCAGGAATGGAAGAAACGAACAGGAGAATCCACCCTCTAAAGCAAAAGCCTATTGATAAAAGAAATAAAGATGTTAAAGCCATTTGTTCGATAAAAATGTACGTAACACGTTATTTCAAACAATAAAAATAAATATAGAATATATTCCGGTACTTGGATTTAATTACATGTAACATGATTAAAAGAATTTTACTTGACTTCATGTTTAACTCCGTATAAGTATAATTATCACTAAAGGAAAATGTTATAGACATACATATACATAGTGTACTTACAAAATGTTGCATTCCTTTGTATAATTTTCACGGGCGAAGAATCTGATGCAATCATGGCTGACTATACCATCAATTCCCTGCACCATTGGTTGATTGAACCTTGCGACGAACTACAATTAGTTAAATTGTATAATATATTAGAATACTAGCTTATATTTCATAACCAAATGAATATCAACAAAACACATGATACAAGAACCAAGGATGTGTATTTCACGCAGATTTCAAATATACTTATACATGTTTTTAAAACAAGAATTAAATGATGAACAGATACTAAAAAAAAATAGTTTCTTAAATTCATGAAAAGGAAATAATACTTACTGAGCAGAAGTTGATATTCCATCCTTAATCCTTGTGTAAATAGCTTGGAAACACATTAAATATGAACAGCAAGGAGACGCGCACTTCTTGTCCATCAGTTGAATTCAAATTTTGACCTAGATAAGCTGCAGCTATACTCTGCCCAGCAAGAATGTTGCATAACTAGGTTATCCCGACACTGAAACTGACCAACTAAGCGAGAAGCACTCCTTATCTGATATCTCGAAGGTTTTGGGGGAGTGGATCTTAAGTAATGCAACTTGATCGGGGTTAATTGTCAGAGTGTTTATTTGAATTTTTAAAAAATATATTTTGTGAAAAGAAAGATTTGTTAAATTAATACACACAACAAAAGCACAATCTAATCAAATAAGACTTCTTAGATTCGCTCTGTATCCGTATAATCTGCGCAAGAGTATACGGCATGGACCCATATGAGTGTAATTTTAAGAACATTAATTATTTGGAATAATTATTTTTATTAATTCTATAGTAACATGGAATTACAGTGAGATGTTGGATAAAGATGTTATTGTATATTAAAAAGCTTGTATTTAACATATTTTATAAATATGTTTTAAAAAATATCATTCACAATTAAAAAAAATAACCGTTTTTGAAAAATATATACTGTAATTACAGTGTATAATGAAGTGTTAAATGTAGATACCATCTTCAAATTCATATAAATTCATATTTAAAATTTTATAATGGTACTAGCTATTGGTACAACTCTTTTCAGTAAATCAATTTATAATGCATGTATTTTATTTATTAAGTATAATTATTATATACATGTATGATATTTTCTAACAATGCATACAGCTGTGTGTATATTTCTAAAAATCGCATGGATTAGAAGTTAAAGACACCTTTATATTTCAGTTGAAAATATGTTGCATCTTCCACGTTGTTTCAACGTTGAAGTCACGAGACAGTCAACTTTCATTTTTTAAAACCTTGTTTTAACTCTACAATATCAGAAAATACTTAACGTTGAAAACATGATGAATCTTCAACGTTGTTTCAGCGTTGAATATCGACGAGCATTCAACGTTAAAAATATTTTGCAGCCTCAACGTTGTTTCAGCGTTGAAATATCTACGAACATTCAACGTTGAAAATATGTTGCAGCTTCAACGTTGTTTCAACGTTGAAAAAAGGTTGATGATTCAACGTTGAAAATATGTTGCCTCCTCAACGTTGTTTCAACGTTGAAATATCGTCGAACATTCAACGTTGAAAATATGTTGCAGCTTCAACGTTGTTTCAACGTTGAAAAAAGGTTGAGGATTCAACGTTGAAACCTCAACGTTGAAACAACGTTGAAATATAGTTGATCAACGTTGCAACCTAAATTCCACCTCCTTTCAACGTTGAAACAATGTTGCGTGCCTGCTGGGTAGATATGTTGTTATTAATGATTTCTCTGCATAGTACATGTAACTCCCGTCGGGTTTTCTCAGTTCAGCATAGAATTTCCTCAGTTTTTCGGAAATCTCCACAATCGTCAATATTTCCATATCCTTGAGGCTCATTCGTATTTTTCAATAAGGTAGTCTTGTAAAAGCTTCAGAGTGGTTTTTACAACATTTTAGTATCTTAACTTTCTCTATATTCTAAAAGTGATGCTTCATCTGCATCGTCAAACAACTTGTACCTGCTTACAGACGATATTTTGGGAACTTTCTACGATTGAAACTCTCAAATGTTTGAAGAATCGCCAACCAATCAATGACAGGAAATGAAAATTGGAGCTAAAATTTGCATGAAAATTTTCCAGGGTGGATAGCAAAAATTATACCCGGGGTATAGCTTTCTGTGCTTGGAAATTTTTAGACTATATAAATAGTTATTTTGCCTTCTTCATTTTAAATAGAAAACATTTTATCAGAAATATAACAAAACAAATTTATAATGCTCTCAGTCAATAAAAATTAAATAAAATAGTATCATTTTATTATTTTTACCAGAACTATACCAGATGGGAGCACAAACTTCTAATGTTCTATTCATGAAGGCATTCCTCACACAGTGGTATCTGAAATATTCTTTTTCTGTGCAGTGCTGAGTAATATTTTCACACTTTTTCATCTTTTCTCTAGCTTTCCATTCCTCCATGTTTTTGGGGCAAGAATCTGTATACTCTATAGTATATAAAGAAATACTACAGTTTCGTTCCTTCGAGTAAGGAAAAAGAATCAGCATCTGAAATGATAATTTTATATAATGTAATTCTTAATGGCACTATATATATTGACTCCTACCTATCCCCACATTCTCCCCAACCCTCATCCCATCACCTCACCCACCCACCCCACAGAAATGACAAACTGTTTGCACTTGAGTAAAATATTATTATTAATAATAAATATTATAATAATAATAATAATAATTATTATTATTATAATAAAAACAATAAATATTGTATACATGTATTTACCGTTAACCAATACAGTGCTCTCAACATGATTTGCATTTCAAATCCGTCATTACTCTGAAATAAAAGAAAAATATGCTAAAATCAATGAAATGTAAAATAAAGACTAACAACACATGAGTATTCAATATATAATATCTATTTTGTAATTTGCAAAACTGATAGATTCGTCATTGGTTTAAGAAATTACGCTAATTCTTGGCCAAATTCTTTGCGGATTATAAAGCGTAAACTGATCCAAACCAGATGATATTTGATAATTTGGCCAAGAATTAGAGTCATTCTTTATAGTTTAATTTCAAAATAATTACATGTAAACAACTTTGGATGTAAAATTGATTTGCTTTTCATGCGTTCAAATTTAATGCGCAATAATACAACCGTAGTAACGGAAATGATGGGAAGCTAGTAGAGGTATTAACTGATACATAGATCTAGAGGCTATGATGTTTGTTTAATTAAATGAGGTAAGATTGAGTAACTGTTTGAGGTTAAAGGTATATTTATCAAATCTGGAGTTTTCCATGGATTCCGAGGACTGGAAATGAAGGGATTGCACGGATAAGATGATTAAGCTGGTCGTCAAGTGGTTGTGTCCCCATACCAAACCAGATAATACAAAATAATTTGCGTTCCTTTTTGAAAATCAACCAATGAACAGCAAAAATACAAACAAAAAAGTAAGGATGTCAATTTTACTCAGACAGCTTAGTCGAATGGTCGGATGCCTTAGTCGAACAAAAGTCGAATATTTTTTAAATTTTAAATATTTTTTTCATATCATTTTCAGAGTTTGTCTTTTACAGACTAGTATATATTATTTAACCTACTCTATCTCTATAAATGGCATTATACAAAAATTTCTGAATTGAAAACATGTACGTAGTACAATAGAAATTGTACATCAATATGCATTCAATTCATTTTATTTCAAAATTAATATTTTAGTTGCACATTTTATCTAAATACAGGATATCAAACGCTCATATTTGCACTTTCTTTTCATAACAGTAATACATGTACCCCATTATTGAAGCCAATTTCTACGTGTCCGTCAATGATCTTAGGTAAACAATTAAAGCGTGTCTCTTATAAAAACAAAGAAAGAGCGAGAGCTTGGGATAAATTTTTTATTATGAAATTTTGTGCAAACAATTAATGTTTGTATGAAATTAATATCAGAGAAAGAAAACACGTTTTTTTTTGCTCTCAAAACGTCAAAAGTAAACAACTGTCCTATCCATTTAAAACAGTAATAGATAGACAATCATTAATAAACATGTTCGATTTTCTTTCCCAATCTGCTTTTTTGGTCATTTTTGCGGAGAGTTTATTTAAGGAAATTTCACTTGAAGACTGTATATATGTTTGACTGATTCGGCATATGACACATCATGTTGGATTTTACACTGCAGAATACAAGTTTTGTTTCACATAACCTTGACAACACTGTATATCTTTTTTAAGCTATACCAAAACTGTAGATTTTGAAGATATATTTGCCAAACATACACATCGACGTACATATACTTTCTTTTGAACAGTAATACCATACCCTTAATTTTACATATTACGAATATATTAATCTGTAAATAAATAAAATGGGCAAATATAAGTTTATTGCCTTGAATTCAAATTTACTTAAATCATGTTAATGAAACACATTTTTAACGAATAACCAATGAAGAAATTTTAGTCGATAGTCGGTGTGATTGAACGGTAGTCGAGTACTCGAATATATTCGTTGACATCCCTAGAAAAGTATACGTTAATTTGAATCTCAAAATGAGCAACATTTTTTTTTGATTTTAGTATAAATTCGAATTTTGTAAGTGAAATGCAAGAGTGCATGGCATTTTTCCCACGATCAAACATGATGAGTGTGCGGAAATAATACTTAGACTAGTTTATATTTAGTACTTCCTTTATCATTTGTACTAAATATCGCGGCAAACCAAAAAAAAAGGAAAACAAAAGCCGAGGCAAAATGGAAATCATCTCGATCAAGTCATTGATAGTGTTTGCGATTATATTTATTCATCCCCTCAGTACATCAGCCAACTGCATTGGGTATTTGTTATTCTATTATAATTCTATTAATAAGCTAACAGTTTTATTTACATAAAATAGCTATGTTACTCAAAGATTGAATGATTGATTGATTGAATATTGTTTTAACACCGAGTCAGTAATTTTTCGGTCATGTTTCGACGGACCATTCGTTTAAATCAGATTTTGAAAGTTTTTGGTTTCTCTGGTGGCCCACAGTGAGCCTACTCCCAGTGCAGTCTCGGTATAGTGGCAGATTCATACTACTTGTATGATCGTAAAATTAATATTTTTTAGTGCTAAAGAAATTGAAAGATAACGTAGGTCTAACGTTTATACGAAACTAAACTACACCCATTTCCGTTTCAGATACATTGATATGTACTACATGGAGTAGAACAAGGGTTTTCCATGGGCCGTTTAACGTGGCGGCCCTGCAGCAGTTTAATTCCTTAGCGCCATAGTTAAAAAATCAGCGCCATAGTCCCCCACGGTTAAAATATTATCGCCACATTAAGATTGACGTTGTCAGTAGCATAAATATATATATTTTTAAATCAAATAAATTTTTTCTCATAGGAAAAGGAAAATGAAGAAGACTTGGAAAATACTAGTAATATTATACACCTATTTACTGGCTATGAGGACAATAGCAAGTTTATCGTCCCCCAAGACAGTAAACAATTTCCCGAGGCGCAGCCGAGGGAAATAGTTTGCTGTCGAGGGGGACGATGAACTTGCTATTGTCCGAATAGTCAGTAAATAGGTGTTTTATTATACCGATGCTGACTTTACTTTTGTTACGTTAACGTCATAATATATACGTCACAATCCATATAAAATCAGAAGTTTTCAGAGATGAAAAGCGAGGGAAATCGAATGCTGCCGTTGAATAGTTTGAGGACTATTCACCATGGGCAAATAGCACAAAAACTATTTCACGGTAGAGACTGTTTAGAAAAAATAGCATGTTTATACGCCTTATTTTTATATAGAAAAAATACACAGAGGTATAATAATTCAATATAATTACAAATATAGACAAAACTCACTCAGTGCAGGTTTACAAATTTCAGAATATGTAACCTTAGTGCTGATTGTAGTGTAATTTAAAAGTTAATTTTTTTTTCATCTGTAAACCTTTACTGAGTGTTATTTTTCTGCATTTTTTTTAATTGAAATATTACTAATATTTTCCAGGTTTATTTCATTTTCCCGTTCTTAGGAGAAAAAATGCTAAGTCCTATCCACTTTCCTAAACTTGTGACATGATATTAAGTGTATTCTAAAGAAACTTTATGCTGGATAATTTTATAATTTCTTTTCAAGATTTGGAAACAGAAAATGTTGTGCGGGTACTAAGTGGGATGATGCAAAACAAACGTGTGTCAGTAAGTCGTTATAATTTGATTTCGTTAAAAAAATTCTTTAAAAGCATGAAAATATATATTTATTATAAAACATTCATTTTATCAACGTATATATTGCTAAAATTATTAAGTCATATGTTTTAAATGCTTATTCTCTTTTTTTAACTCAATACTATCATTGTGTGCAACAAAATGTTACGAAGTGTTTGAAATAATTTAAATGATATATATTTAGATATGTTTATCTATTGCAGAATGTCCTGTAGGATGTATTGGAAAATCGTGTAATACTCCGTGCATTTTTCCATTTTATGGAAACACATGTCAAATGAAATCAGATTGTTCATTAGATAATTGGAATCATGTTAATGGATGTGCAATTGATATTGCAAATAAATCCCCTACAGGTATTTATCACAATACTTCTGTAGGATATTTATTTTATTTACCGGTATGTTAAAAGTCTTTGAGAGAGAGAGGGGGCGGAGAGAGAGAGAGAGAGATTAATACCAATACCAAACTAACATACACTCAGAAATATCTGTCTCTCAGACAAGCACGTTTTATTGTGGTTTATTATTTCTTTATCTCTTTCATTTTTACATCTCAACGATAGAAACAAGATTGAATATTATAAATATTGTTTCCGGATATATCTATTTCAATAAATTTTATTTCTGTTTTGTATTTACAGAAAAACTGTCGTCTTTCAAATCTGTTAGCATCAACTATCCAGAGAAAACCACAGCACTTTTAAAACTGCAGAACCGTACAACATTGTCTGACCAATTTTTACCCAAAGCCCAAACCAGTAAGACTGTAGACAAAAGAAGAATTCCTCTTGGAGTTTTTTTTCTTCTTTTGTTTATATTGGTAATCCTTGTATCAATTCATTTGATATTGCGCCACACAAAAATATGTCGTTAGCTAAAACTTTAACAATACACCGACAAATATACCGAAAGCTAACTTAAAGGCACGAAATATCAAATAACATGATCAATAACAATGGCATTTCATTTAACCCAGTGTAAGATGCGTACAGTATAATTATATCAAAATAATTTAATTTCACTTGTATCAAGCTATTTCATTGGCTGAATCATTCAGAGGAACATATAATATTTTGGATAACATAACTTGCCTACGTCACAATTACTCCGCTTGACGTTACTTTTAAAATAATGCTCAATTTGAAGCCTTATTCTGGAGGAAAAATTCTCTTTTTTTCTACACTGAAATTAAATTATAAGGAATGAAGCCAATTTCAACTTATGTTATACGATATACCAAACCTTGGGTCAGTTTACGCTTTTTTATAAACCGCTTCGCGGTTTATAAAGCGTAAACTGCCCCAAGTTATGTTATATCGTATAACATAAGTTGAAATTAGCTTCAATCCTTCAATATTAACTAACGAGCTACTATATACAGTTTTTTTTTTTGGTATGAACTCCCTATATTACCTACTAAAGACCTGTGTTTAATCCTCCAGACACGTGCTCATACTCATGCCGGTTATGGATGTTATAGAGATTATAATGTTCACATATTAAAAAACGCTGTGAGATTACTTTTTGCGAAACATTCTATAAGAAGCTACAATCCCCATATCATTGTAAGAACGACGTT